TAGAGTGCGTGATCGTGTTGTAGTAGTCCGCATCTCCCTGATTTGTTGACACCTCGTGTTGCTTGGCATTCTCCTGCATCGTCGAAGTTACGCAGATGCTTGCAACGCTTCGGCTTCTAGTAGAATCGCCTCCAATGCATGTGCCGTAGGGTCGCTAGTGAACGAGTACTTGCCGGATTAGAGGTTAATTACTCCTCAATCTGTCAAGCATCGTGACGTGCACGGAATTTTCTTCCACGCAGGTCATTAACACCTGGAATCGCGACGCATGATTGGTGTGTCGCCTCATAAGGTCGATGTTGATACTGCCCCAATCAATCACTTCGGATGGCTGAGATTCTTGATGAAGACGAATCGTTCAGCTCCTGTTACGAAGTAGTGTCCCGCTGGCCTTGACGAGACGGGTTCTCTGCGTCGTCGTTGCGTGCGAAATCTGCTCCTTCGCAGCAACTTGAACTTGGGAGCATTGCAAGAGAAAACGGCTACTTCTCTGCAATCCCATAGGTTGTCGATCAAATTTATGAGATCCGCTGCTCCATTGTTTTTCCTGGGTGAAGATCTGCTGTGTTGATGCCGATCCATTTTTTAACGAAGATGACTTCGTCAAAATAAATCGATCGTTGTCGACACTTGTCAGAAGATTCTTCGATTGTGCAGTCGCTGGTCACGAATGTTGTCTCCATGATGATGTTTTCCTCATAGTGTAGTCTCTGCTGCATTCGTGCCGTTGATTCCGCAACGATCCGACGATCCACGTTCTCCTGTCATTTTTCTGCATGCAGATATTACCAACAAGGTAATACTCTGGCAGGTTTCTGACTCTGCAGATGATTTGCGCACCATATTCGTCACCAAATAGAGGAGTCCGAATTTGGTTGTCCAAATGTTGTCGACGATATCGAAGGCGGCTAATTTCTGGTTCTGCGCGTCATTCTCCCTTGATGCAGAAATCGCGCTCCATCTCGTCCGTGGAAGTAGTCGTTGATCCGACGGTCCAAACTCCAAGCGATCTGAAGAAATTCCTGAGACGCGTTCAGCAGCTTTCGGCGCACGGATCACCTCGTTTCCTACAGCAATTCTCGGTCGTCGATGTCGGCTGTCGAACGATCGGACGCTCCGAAGAACTTCGCGGCTTGCGAGGTCCCGTTCCCATTCGCGCCGAAACGCAAACTCGCTCAGATGGATTTCGTTTTCGTCTCGGTCGATCTGAAGCGTCGAATCTCCATCGGACGGATGTCGTCGGTCGCAGCTCCGCACATTTCCGCGCAACTCCAAGTGTCGTCGCGAACTGCGAACTCCTCGGAATGTCGCAGGGAGTGTTCCGCCAGAACTGACGCGTTCGCCAGGTCGAGGCCCTTTGCCCCCGCGAAAAATCGGCACCGTCGATGCAATCCATCGAACGGTTGGCGAGGCATCTCGCCTTCGAGGGGACCCCAGGTGCAACTGCGCGAGGTGAGTCGAAACTTAATATGAAAGAGCATTGTACTTACAGGAATTGAAGTTTCGACTCCATCCTCCGCGTGCTCCTGGGGGCCCAGCGGTTAACCGTTGATCTGAAACCTTGGCTCTGATACCAAGTGTCACAGGATTGAATGTCCCGAGTGTTGTGTGATGTCATCATATGCTATCACATTCTGTCTGCCTCCCATCCCATATTTTTTCAACTTGCATGTGTGGTTTGAACGTGTGCAAGAATTTGTGTGTGATGTGTTCTGGAGTTTGGGAATGTGTTTTGTGTTATTTTGTTTGAGCAGGTTTTTTGTGATGATAGATCTTGAGAAGATCTTTCCGACGCAACGAGAATCCCTTCAATCGGAGCAAGAACGCGAAAGCTATGAAGATTCAAAGTTCATGAGCTTGCGTTACAATTGCGGCGGTTACAAAGTGAAGTTGTGGGGTGACTCTATATGGAGTTGGGACCTTTGGGGGTTTGGGAAATTTGTCACTCACTGTAACAGCTGCAAATTGGTTGGGAACAACCAAGCTAGGTTGGCAAGGGTGGCCAACTTGGATGGATTGGTTGGGAAGGGACAAATGTCAAAGTTGGGGTTCCTATAGGGAGGGAATCTTTGTGCTTATGGGGTTTCCTTGGTTGGGGACTCTCTTGGGACCTTCCCTCTCATCCCTCTCTTCCTATCCCAACCTTTCTCTTGCTCCTTCTAATTCCTTGTGAGATTCTTGAACTTTGATTGAACCTTTGAGATTGAGTTAAGTTCTCCTCCTACAGCTTACCCCCTAGTGCGTCGAAAGCCATAGCGTCGCGAATACTTTATCAATCAACATGATTCAAATTGGGAACGGTAGCTGAGATTAAGAGCTACAACATATCCAAGTTTCGCGACATTCCAACGGCTAGTTGTTTGTCGACGTCGTTTCTTGTGAAGACGACTTTTCTGTCCAGAATTTCGGATTTATATTTTGAGTAATTCTAGCTCCTAAGTTCACCTAGACTCCGTCCTTAATCCTAACAAGTGGTATCAGAGCTGTATTAAGGACGTTGAGAGGAGTCTACAGAAGTGTGAAGACCCTTCTAGACCCACCATGGCCTGTGGGTGTGCCTAAGTGGTGTTCTAAAGGTTGGATGTGTCTTCCGCTAAGGGAAACTCTGCCGAAATTTCGTGGACGCCGACACTTGTGAAAATATCGAGGGAGCTGAGTGTGGACAGCAAAGGGGGGCTGAAATTCGTCATTTCTCAAGGAGAAGATGAATGAGAGAGGAGGAGATGCTAATGGAAGAGGAGCTGTAGCTGAGAAGACAAGTGAGCCGCCGCCATCAAAAGTTGAAGCTTTGGATGGCTCCAACTATGAGGAATGGAGCGGACGGATGAGGAGTGCCTTCAAACGCTACAAGCTACTGAAGATTGCTGTTGGGGAAGAGAAGATGCCGGAAGAAGGCGAAGCACGTGAACGGTGGATTGAGAAAAGCACGGTGCTTTTCGACCTCATCCTTCAATCGGTCAACAAGGAGATGTTCGAGCACATCAAGGATCTTGTGGAAGCGGATGATTCGGGTCCAAGGGCGTGGAAACTACTACGCGATGTGATTCAGCCCAACACTCTCCTGATGGTGATCGTGCTCGAGAAGGAACTTGCTGCCATCTCCATGCGACCAGGGGACGATGTGAAGCCGGTCCTTGACAAGATCAAGGACACCTATGCAAGGATGGCAGCAGCGGGCAGCAGTGTATCTCAGCTGCAGCAGTGCACCAAGATCATCTCGGTGTTGGACAACTCTTGGGACAACCTCATCCCCACCCTCAACTCTCAGCAAGATCAATGGACACCTGAGTGGCTAAGGCAGCAGATTCTGCAGGAGGACTTCCGCAGACGCCATGTGGGAGGCGGTGCTGCCACTAAGACTGCTGAGGGGTATGGAGCTGCAGGGCGCAGCAGAGGAAGAGGGGGTTGGAGAGGCCGAGGCCGTGGGAGAAGCTTTGGCAGAGGTAGAGGCCGAGGTGACTATAATGAGGGGCATGGGAGCTCCAGTGGCAGGGGGAGTACCAGAATGGAGGGCACCTGCTGGTACTGCAAGAAGGTCGGGCATCCTTGGTTCAAGTGCTTCAGCAGGCTGGAGGGATGGTCACCTCCAGGCATGAAGCCGCCAAGTGGTGAACGCGCACAAGGTGGCGCTGTGCAAGGCTCAGGTGCACAAGGTGAAGGTGCACAAGGTAACGCCTATCCTGGGATGTATCTCATGGTTGAGGATGTGCATGGGCATGAGGGTGATGTGGGATCTGTCGGAAAGGTTGTGATGCACCCTCTCACGCACTGGGTGATTGATTCGGGTTGCACCAGTCACATGACTCCACGGGCAGATTTGCTTGATGAGGTAAAACCCCCTGGGAAGATTAAGTATGTGGCAGCAGCGTCAGGTGCTTTGCTCCCCGTGATTGGTGTTGGGAATGCCAAGGTTAAGGGAGCTAATGGGGAGCTTGTGGGGCTTGGGAATGTTCTGCTGGTTGAAGGCTTGTCTGCTAACCTTCTCTCTGTGCGACGACTGCAGAAGAGCAAGGCCGAAGTGACCTTTGGACCAACCAGCTGCCGTGCTAAGCTTGGGAAGAAGGTGCTGTGGAGTCTGGAAGAGGAGACCAGCTGCATCAAGGACCTGTGGCAGCTGCCCATCATCCCATGGAATGGGAAGACTCCAACAGCAGCAACGGCAGCAGCGGCAAAGGCAACAGCAGGAGGAGATGCAACTGCACCAACTGATGGGGTCCTGGAAGCAGTCAAGAAAGTGCAGCAGCAGCAGACACATGGTGAGGTGCTTGCTGGTGTGGATGCGAGTGCGGCATGGGCTAAGGCTTCATCAAGGAGTGGAGAGGCCGATTGGGAGACATGGCATGAGAGGCTGTGTCATGTGAACTTCCCTATGCTGCAGAAGTTGGTGAAGGATGGGAGCCTGAAGGGCTTGGAGGTGAAAGGGGGAGTGAAGGAGATTGGGAGCTGCCCTACATGCTTGGAGACCAAGTTCTCCAAGTTCCCCTTCAACAGCACTACAGGACCAGCCAAGACCCCACTTGCACTTGTGCACATGGATGTGGTGGGGCCCACAAGAGCCCCTTCCCTCTCAGGCAGCCGCTATTTCTTGACAATTGTGGATGACCACACTCGGGCAGTGTGGGTTTACCCTTTGAAGAGCAAGGGGGAGGTGGCAGCGGCTGTCCTTAAGGAGTGGATGCCGAGAGCTCAGAGGGAATGCGGACACAAGGTGAAGGTGATCCGTAGTGACAATGGTGGGGAGTTCATTGGAGCTGATTTTGAGGGGGAGTTGAAGAGGAAGGGGATCCAGCATCAACTGACAGTGCCCTACAACCCGCAGCAGAATGGCGTGGCTGAGAGGTTCAACAGGACCCTGCAGGAGGGGGCACGCACTCTCCTTGGGCGTGCAGGGCTACCTGATCCGTTTTTGGGTGTCTGCACTGAGGCAGGTCGCCCTTGTGAAGAATAGAGTGCTGGCTACAGTTGGGGATAAGGAGTGGATCCCATATACCAAGTGGTATGGGAGTGCTCCAGCTGTGAATATGCTGAGGGCATTTGGGTGCATGGTAGTGTTTCATGTGCCTAAGGAGAAAAGAGGGAAGTTGGAGGCTTCTGGAAGATGGGGTGTGCACTTGGGGATTGCAAAGGATCACAAGGGGTGGCTGCTATGGGACTTGACCACCCAGAAGTTGACAGTGTCAAGGGATGTGAAGTTTCTTGAGTCCCTGTACTACAAGGAATGGAAGCAGCAGCAACAGAAGCTTCCATCTACACCGCTCATTGTGGAGGCAGATGAGGTGCAGCACCCTTCAAGACAGGTGGAGGTTGCAGTGTCAGAGGAGGAGATGTCTGGGGTGACTGAGGAAGGGGGAGCAGCTGAAGTAGAGCAGCAGCAGCAGCAGCAGCATGAGTCTCCACCTCGAGTTCCACACCCGCCTGAGCGTCCTAGGAGGGATGTGCGCCCTCCAGTGAGGCTGACCTATGGGGGAAGAGGCAAGCCAAATGTGGTGCAGGCTGGGAGTGTGGTTGAGCAGATTGAGGAAGATGAGATCGCTCACTGCTACTGGGCACCAATCCCTGAGCCCAAGACTCGAGAGGAGGCTTTGAATGGACCAAATGGGGAGAAGTGGAAGGCGAGTGAGGATGAGGAGTTCGGGTCCCTAATTGAGAACGAGACATGGGACCTGTGTGACTTGCCTCCTGGAAAGAAGGCAATCACTTCCAAGATGATCTACAGGCACAAGTATGGACCTGAAGGGGAGCTGACCCGCTACAAGTCCAGGCTTGTGGCAAGGGGGTTTCAGCAGACAAAAGGGAAGGACTATGATGAGGTGTTTGCTCCTGTGGGGAAAGGAACAACACTGAGGGTGCTGTTAGCGATAGCTGCACTCCTGGGATGGAAGATACGGCAGATGGACATTGTGACTGCTTTTCTGAATGGGATCATTATGGAGGAGGTGTACATGAAGCAGCCAGAGGGGCTGGATGACGGGAGCGGCAGGGTCTGCAGGCTGAAGAAGGCCATCTATGGCCTTAAGCAGGCGCCTCGTGCATGGTATCACAAGTTGGAGGAGGCGCTGTTGGCTGGGGGTTTCAAGAAGAGTGAGTGTGACCCCAGCCTGTTCCTGCTGCAGGAGAAGGATGAAATCCTCATGCTCTTGGTGTATGTGGATGATATCCTTCTCTTTTCTGCATCAACTGCTTTGCTGGACAGCGCAGAGCAGATGCTGGAGATGCAGTTCAAGTGCTCCAAGATGGGTGAGGTGAAGTACTACTTGGGGATGCACGTGGAGAGAGATGTGGAAAAGGGTGTGCTGAGGTTGCACCAGAGGAAGTACTGTGAGGGGCTGGCTGAGAAGTATGGGCTGCAAGATGGGGGAAAGCCAGCAACACCACTACCTTCAGGGTTTACTGTGGAGCCATGTGCTGATGAGGAGGTAGTGGGTGATAGTGACAGGAAGCTGTTTCATTCGATGGTTGGGTCGCTGAATTATGCTGCAAATCATACACGGCCTGACATTGCATTTGCTACATCACGATTGGCTAGTGTGGTCTCACGCCCTAGTCATGAGCAGCTGGAAGCGGCCAAGAGGTTGGTCCGCTATGTGAGCGCTACGGCATCAGTGGGATTGGAGTACAGTGGAGTGAGGCAGCGGTTGCAGAGAGGTGCTGCAGATGTGAAGAGTGGAGAGATGCTCTTGAGTTGCTATACTGACGCTAGCTTCAACTCAGTGAAAGCGGATGGCACCAGCATTGGGGGTTATGTGTGCTTGCTAGGAGGTGGTGCTGTGAGCTGGCGCAGCAAGAAGCAGAATGAGGTGGGATTGTCCTCATGTGAGACTGAGTACATGGCCTTACACCATGGGGCCAAGGAAGTAGTGTGGCTAAGGCGTTTGTTGGAGGAGTTGGGAGTTGGTCAGGAGAAGCCGACAGTTGTGTTTTGTGACAATGAGTCCGCTGTGAAGCTCGCCAAGAATGCTTGTCTGCATGGGCTGACAAAACACATAAGGCCTAAGTGGCATTGGGTGAGGAGACTCCTTGATAAGGAGGTGCGGCTGGAGATAGTGAAGACCCATCAGCAGGCAGCAGATATTTTCACCAAGCGTCTGGCGGAGGCGGATCATTGGAAGGGCATGAAGCTTGCTGGGATGAGTGTGCATTGAGTATGCATGCTTGAGATGTTGGTATGGTGGATGATGGTTGGCAGCCAGAGGGGGAGATTGTTGTGTGATGTCATCATATGCTATCACATTCTGTCTGCCTCCCATCCCATATTTTTTCAACTTGCATGTGTGGTTTGAACGTGTGCAAGAATTTGTGTGTGATGTGTTCTGGAGTTTGGGAATGTGTTTTGTGTTATTTTGTTTGAGCAGGTTTTTTGTGATGATAGATCTTGAGAAGATCTTTCCGACGCAACGAGAATCCCTTCAATCGGAGCAAGAACGCGAAAGCTATGAAGATTCAAAGTTCATGAGCTTGCGTTACAATTGCGGCGGTTACAAAGTGAAGTTGTGGGGTGACTCTATATGGAGTTGGGACCTTTGGGGGTTTGGGAAATTTGTCACTCACTGTAACAGCTGCAAATTGGTTGGGAACAACCAAGCTAGGTTGGCAAGGGTGGCCAACTTGGATGGATTGGTTGGGAAGGGACAAATGTCAAAGTTGGGGTTCCTATAGGGAGGGAATCTTTGTGCTTATGGGGTTTCCTTGGTTGGGGACTCTCTTGGGACCTTCCCTCTCATCCCTCTCTTCCTATCCCAACCTTTCTCTTGCTCCTTCTAATTCCTTGTGAGATTCTTGAACTTTGATTGAACCTTTGAGATTGAGTTAAGTTCTCCTCCTACAGCTTACCCCCTAGTGCGTCGAAAGCCATAGCGTCGCGAATACTTTATCAATCAACATGATTCAAATTGGGAACGGTAGCTGAGATTAAGAGCTACAACATATCCAAGTTTCGCGACATTCCAACGGCTAGTTGTTTGTCGACGTCGTTTCTTGTGAAGACGACTTTTCTGTCCAGAATTTCGGATTTATATTTTGAGTAATTCTAGCTCCTAAGTTCACCTAGACTCCGTCCTTAATCCTAACACCGAGGAAAGGTTTGCTCAATGTTGCACTATCAATCAGTACAAGGGGCTTTTATACTTCCAGATTACATCAGGTAACCAGGTTTATCCTATCCAAAGGGAATAGACCCTTCTAGAAATAGAATCACCATGCGTATAGCTACGCGAGGCTATTGGCTTTAAGGGATTACGACAGGATTACGCTAGATATAGCGCGCCAGTACATCCCGAGCCTGGTCGGTGATATAATTATAATAACAGGATAAACCAAAGGATAATGGAAAATGAGGAACAGGAAACCAAATGAGATGAGATAAAGACCAAATGAAGCAGGAGTGAAAGAGGAATGAAATAGAAATGAAATATGGAAAGGGGAAATTGGTGTAACGGTGTCGTACTCTCACAGATTCTATGTGTGCCATGCAACTGACGATGTTATGTAAGCCGAGTGCATGTCGCGGCACATGTGCAGGCGAACACTGCTGGGTCGACGCAACTTGACTGTGGACAGTCTTAGTTGTCGAGGCATCTGCTGCTATTGTCTAGGATAGTTAACTCCAGAATGGCCTCACGTATGACAGAGGTGTCAGTACAGAGGTACGCCATGCCTTTGAGTTTGGCCGGGTTGGCATCCGTGTGTATAAAACGCAATATGCTGACTACGTTATCATGTTGTTTGGCATGAAGCTCGGCGCAGAGGTGCATCTCCGAGTTTCTCCCGTGGGCTGGAAAAAGACCACCGAGGGCCAAGACCAGCAAGGACCACTGCCATAAATGAATCATCTGATAAGTTCCCTCCGCTGCATATGAGTCTGTCCGTACTCCTCTACCGCGATTCATGTAGGCCATAGCTTTTTCTCCATGCAGCATTGGAACTGTTATCAGCCGTGCGATGAGTCGACTCTACGTTGCGATGTCCGACGTCTGGCATACGCTCTTGAGGTGGCAGTATGCCAGCTCGGCGGAGTTCTCACTGTGAGAGTACGACCCCGTTACACCACTTGTCTCTTTCCTTATTTCCTTCCTCTTTCATTTCTCTTTTTATCTCATCTCATTTGGTTTTCTATTCTCCATTTTTCCGTTAACCTTTGGTTTATCACCGACCAGGCTTGGGATGTACATGTGCGCTATCTGGCGTAATCCTGCCGTAATCCCTTAAAGCCAATAGCCTCGCGTGGCTATACGCAGGGTGATTCTATCTTCTAGAAGGGTCCATTCCCTTAGGATAGGATAAACCTGGTTACCGGATGTACTCTGGAAGTATAAAAGCGCCTTGTACTGATCGATAGTGCAACCTTTCCTCGAGTCATTCGATCCTGTAACACTTGGTAATCAGAGCTTTTCTCACTCGGCCGTGCTCAGCTAAGCAGCAGCAGCGGGGATCCTGCCTCGAAAAAGCGCCGGGGGCGACCAATTCGACGCCGATTCTGGTAAGTACCAGCTCCGCGTTTTTCCGAATTACCCCCTCCGCGCGTGTTTTTGAATAGGATGGCGAACCTCGACAACGCCGAGGTTACCCAGCAGCTCTTCGCGCGCATCGCAGCCCTTCAGGAGGAGATGCGAGCGGACCGCGAAGCGTGGCGAAACGATTTCGAGCGAGTAACTCGACTCGCCGGAGCGCAGCACGATTGGACAACGGTGACGACGCAGCAGTCGCAGCAGTTTCTCGAGGCTCCGAAACCGCGCCCACCTGAGCCGTTGGATCCGAGCGATCGAAACTCCGACGTCCGCAGATGGATCGCCGGCATGGAGATCTACTTCGCAGCCGTCGGATGGAGCTCGCCAGGCTGGGACGGTCAACGCGTACGACTCGCGGCGACACTGATGCGAGGGCCGGCACTCGAGTGGATTGGCGGCAACAGTACCTTCATCCACAGTGAAGCCACGTGGTAGCAGTTCCGCGCCGACTTGCTGAAACGATTCGACCCAAAAATTCGAGTTCCCTTGCCCGGGGAAAAATTCATCGACACCGACAGTTCGGGAGTGTAGCACAGTACACACAGCAGATGGAGGAATTTTATAACCGCATTCCCGACCTGACCGAAGGGGAAAAAGTACAGTCATACCTCGCCGGGCTGAAGACCGAAGTCAAACGACAAGTGGCAGCGTCAAACTACGCAAGCTACAGTGACGTCGTTTCGGCCGCGGAGCGCTTCGACATGGTCAACGCGGGGACACGACGGACGCACGTCGGCAGTACGCGACAGGGCGACCGCTCAGCTCACCCCACGTTCGCCGACCCGATGGAAGTCGACAGATTCGAGGGGCGGCCACGTCCGAAGAAGAACACGCCCTACAAATGGGAATCGAAGCACCAGGAAGCCGTGGAGCAGCTGAAACAAGCACTCACGATCGCCCCGGTACTCATCTTGCCAGATCCCGAACACGACTACGTAATCGAAGCTGACGCCAGCGACCAGGCAGTGGGAGCAGTCTTAATGCAAGACCAGGGGAATGGACTGCAACTAATCGCCTACCTCAGCAAGAAACTACATGGAGCAGAACTAAACTACCCGATACACGA